GGAGATCCCTTATTTTGTTTTATGGAGGTGATACTCAGTGTCAAAGCCCTGGGTGAAGAGTAGATTCTAACAATGGCTTCCATTTCCATCCCAATAAATGTCTTTACTATTAAGTGAATCAAGAGTAGTTAATATTTGAATGATAAAGTGTGTTCTGTTCTTGAAAAAAATCCAGCCATGTCAGTTTCCTTTTATTTGAAAAAACAGGAATGAATTAAACATATTGGATTAGTAGAATTGTAAGAGATTTTGAACCAAGAGGAAAGGAAATACTGTTATTGAATAAAATAATTTGAAAGTATGAAAATAGAAAAGCATGCAATAAAAGTTAAATGAAAAGATTTGGGTCACACAAATCTGGTTCAAGGCAAGTTGGTCAGATTCTAATACTTGATTGTGGACAAGTCACTTAGGGTCCTTAAGCTTCAGTATTACCAACTCTGAAACTAGAACATAAGGGTTAAGTTGTGGAAATTGGTGAAATGTGTGCAAGTTATCAAACAAGTGGTGTCTATCATGATTAGTGAGTTTGATTGCAAAATGACTATTGTTGGTAGTAATACCTCTTCTAGGCCAATATGTAGAACCTTCCATGAAATCACTAAGTGAGGTTCCTGACCTTGTGAATTGAACCCTGGTGGCTTGTTCAAAGTCAAGGTCACTACTGGATTTTTTAGACCTTTGGAAGCTCATGCACATATTTGGGCAAGTTTGCTAGAAGATGAAAGAAATGAAGCCCACTCTCACAATCACTACATGAGACAGTCAGGTGACATTTAGTAGTTAGCCTTAGTTGACATGTGTTTGGCTATATAGGGCATCCAGCCATGGCCAAAAGGACTAAATAATGAAATCATCCCACATTTCCAACCTTCAGAAATATAAACTAAATCAATAGATGTTGTTTTAAACACTGAGTTGGAGATCATTAATAACAATAATACCCTGATTTAAATAATTCTTTCATTACAATGTTTTAGCTTTTAAGGGCCTTAAAATGTAAGCAAAGGCTTTCTAATTTCTCCAAATTACACAGTGAATAGCTGCAGATTTTCTCTTTGAGTTACAGAGGCATCTTTACTCAATATTTCCAATTTAGCACCAGGAGTATTGATTTTACTCAAAAGGTCAGGAAGTAGCTTCAATAAATGACTCTAGCAAAGAGCAAGTACAAATGATAGTGAAATAGACTGGAAGTCCATGTTGTCTCTTGGGGAAAAAATCCCTCTGTTTAAAAGACACTAAAATGGAGATGAAGGAGCATGGGAATCATTGAAGAATAAATTAGTGGTAGTGTAGTTTGGGGTATTAATTACATGCTCATCTGCCCCTCCTACCCCCATACAGTCATACACAATCATGCTCACCCCTTGCAATACTTTTTTTACAAAGACAATCAATACATTACTATAGTTGTTGCCTTTCTCCAGAAAACTGAATCAGCCTCAGGCCACCCGCCATCCCCCAAATATTTTCTGTTCAAATCTTGTCAGAAACAAGTCCATTTATCCCAATGAAGGCTGACCTCTGTGTCTTCAGACAAATTCTGACAAAAGACAGTTGGTTTCTGCCTCAGATGGAAGGTCCAGGAGGATGCTGTGCAGTAGTCCCCATGCCAGATGTCCGCCTAATGGGCATACTGGGTACAGTTTGCAAACAGACCTGCATAGAGTCTCTTGAAAGCAGTTAGTTATGGCTCTTGCTGGGAAACAAGGGTCCAGACATCACAGAGATTTGGAAAACCAGGTCACAGGTGATAGGAACTTGGACAAGGGCAGCTGTTGTTTTTATATCTGCATTTATAGAGCATTTTCTGCTTCCAAGAGCAGCAGGCATAAGAAAGTTTGGCAGAAGAGAAAGTTTCTCATTTCTTACAGCATATTGCTCTAGGATATGTCCTTGTGGGTTACAGGACAAAGATTTAAGTATGTGGCTCAGCCAAATACACAGATATTATATAATATAAACAAGATATTAGGTCATATAATAAGAATGAAAAGCATTTAGGCTGGAGTTCAATAGAGAGCACAATTTATATTAATTAAGAGTAAATACACATACATATTCAAAAATATTTTTAATGCAATTTCTGAAAATCCCAGTATTTTTTTAAGAGCCCTTACATTGCCCTTGTTTTCTCCATGTAAAGCTTGTAGAGAAGATGGAGAAGGGGCGCTTGTTAACTCTATCAGATACTTTTTGTTTACTTGTTGCACTGCTGTCTTTAATCAGTTCTGACTTTATTCAGGAATATATTACGGTGTCCAATTTTGATGGTTAGTTGAATTTAGATACATAGCTTATTAATATACTGATGTTAGAAAATGTATACTGTGTTACATTGTAGCAGCCCAGAAGCAGTGAGGATGTCACAATTAATGTGTGTGGTAAACTCCTGCAACTCCTCCATCTCTTCTAAGCTACTCTCTCTCTCTCTCTCTCTCTCTCTCTCTCTCTCTCTCTCTTTCACCCTCCCTTCCTTGCCCCCCCCCTCTCTCTCTCTCACACACACACAGATTTGGAAAGTATGATAGGAATGATAATGTTCAAATACCATCTTATTTAGAATTCTTTTCCTTTCTCTGAAAAAAGAAGTAAAATATTTGTTCTTCTTCAGATGATTGTTTACCACAGTCCAGGTTTAGGCACCTCTCACTCAGACAGCTCTAACATAGAGACCAGGCAGAATTATTGGTATGACCTAGGATCGATATTTGAAGGTTAAAGGTAATGAGACTCAGAGAAAGTACAGTCCTGTGTTGATGTGCAATATTTTGTATTATGAAGGTAATCTATTTGAGATCTCTGATGGTAAAAAATATAACCTATTCCTTTCTTAGCATGGGGAACTGTTCCAAAGCATTAATTCCAGTTAATGCTTCCTAAATAAATAATCACATGTCCACACCTGAGATGGAAGGTATAAAGTAGCCCCAGCAACAATTGACAATGGAACAAAAGTGGAATGACAAACAAAAATGACAATGGAACTCTACCAGGAGAACAGTATCTCTGTAGTGTGACTATTAACACCTCACACGGGAGAAAAAGAAATGGCCACCAGTTACATCAGGCTCCAGGTAACGCATGTTTTTAAAAGCAACACAGAGGAATGCTGGAATGACTTGGTGCTATTTCACCTCTGACTTCACATTGACAAACCTCTTGCCTTATAAGAGTCCACTATGAAGAATACTCAACATGGCTGGTCAAAGATGAAAGCATTGTGATGAATACCCTTTATCTTCTTACTAATTCAAGGATATTTGGGTTATTTGGTACATTGCTAATGGCTCAAACAATGCCTCATTTTCCTTTGTTTGTGAACAATTCATTTATGCATGTTTCCCAGGGATCAAGATGAAGATCTACTTTGTATATTTAGGGCTTAATTTCTTTGCCCTAAATAGAGAACTTAAACCCACTATGGGAAGATCCTGTGCTGATACCCATACATGGACTGCTCTAAAACTGGAATTTTGACAGAAGAACTTGCTGTTCAGAGCCTGTCATGGAACTGGCTAAGCGACTAGGTGTGTACTTAAATTAAGGAGTTGCTAAGTTTCTACATGGTTATGAGTCCAGTTGGAATCACCTGTGATGTGCAAAAGACTTAGTCTTGGCCAATGAAGGATCCACAAGTGCTCTACAGTTCAGTGTCCAGGAAGTGATTTTCACTGTCTCCCAAATAGAAATTGTTGTGCATAGTATCAATAAAAATATAAAAGATATAATTTAGTGAACTACAACCTAGGAGGGGTCAGAATGTGGGTGTATATGTGGGGGCCAAGGAGTGTATAAGGTACACAATCTTAAATATTAGGAAATGACAGCAATATCTGTCTTACCCTCTTCAGCTCTGGTTGCTAAGTTACCATGACACACCACTGGGTGTGCTTCTCAGTTTTTGGTCTTGGATCTGACAGTTTGATTAATTCTCTGGAGTGCAAAAATCTTCATGTTGAATATTTAAAAATTACACATGCATGCACACACACACCCACACCCACTCATCCAGTACCCCATTATTGTTTCTGATGTATAAAATCTGTTTTATAATTAAATTGACATATGTAGGAGGAAACCTAAAATGACACTTCATTTTAATGACAGAAAAATCCTGTCCCATGTGACACTTCTTGAAGTTTTCCTTAAATATAACACAGTTCACTCCTTCATAATGGCAGCCACTTCCTCCCTTTAGTATGTTCACTTAATTCTTGACTTTACATCGAAGAAATATGGAAAAAATAGAGTGTTGTTTCACAGCTGATATTGCTTTTCCTTCTCCTATATGTCTCCCTTACTGTGTGATCAAATTCAGAGATGTTCATAAATATTACTATAAGCTGATGATTGGTGGGCAATGGCTGTCAGATGTATCTATGGGGATATGTCAGTGTCAACCAGCAAGGCTGGCCTGACTTAAATCCAGGGAACATCTCTGAAAATAACACAAAAATGTATATCTGAAAAAATATAAAAATGTGGCATCCAAGACACACTGTTTTCTTGTTCTCTGGCATTTTTGGACAATTGTTCATTATTATTCTGTATTCGTTGGCATTGTGTTTTCTTCCACACTGTGTGTCTGTGTGAGATTTCCTTTCTTTTACACATTTAAAACAAATGAATGGCACCTCAAATTCTTATCAATAAAGCAAATGAGCTTTTATAATACTTATGAGAAATGATGCTGTAGCAGGTGCATACTCTGTGGGTGATTAGCTATAAATATAATCCAGCTGCTGACTGGGTTTTACTGCTTACTACCCAAATCACGACATTTGTCCTCCAGAAAAAAGTTGCAATGCATGGTCTTGCCAACCAAGTAGCAGGGGCAAATCTGACTGTTTTAGTCATTCTATGACTTTATTTCATTTTTATAAAGTTATGATAGTACTGATGTGTCCCAACCCATGGAACGTCAACCTGGGGCAAGAGAGTCGGGGATAATGAATGGGGACAAGAGACTCAGAAAGAATGACCACAAGACAGGATTCTGATCAAGTGGCAAACTTTATTTTTCTCAGGCTAGCTTATATAGTCAGCAGTCTTTTTCAGGAGGTGTGTAGAATGGATTGATCCGGACCTGGAAGGCAAGAAGAAGAGGTCTCGGATGGAGGATTGGTGTCCTGCCTGGACGTTGAGTTATCTGGGGGTTGTGTAGGAAAGGTTTCTCCTCCTGAGGGGGCAGGAGTGTAAGGGTTTTCATCTCCCGAGTCCTCCTTCCCATAGGAGGCTTCGGCTGAAGGACAGGGAACTTGGTTGCCATTTCAAAGCAAAAGTGGAAACGCCAAGAGCGGAGATTTGGACAGGGGTTTTTTCAGGCCCAAAAGTCTCATAATAGGAATCCCTACTGACATCCACATCTCCTTACCTTCCTGCATTGTAAAGCCAGCTTAGTATCACTGTCAACCTTTACCTCTCTAATTCCATGATCTCACTTGTAACTAACTTCCCAGCATTCCCCAGGAATTGACAAGGAGAATGTTGAATTCTCCCCCACCATTGGCCACTCAGTAGATGAACTCGCCATGGATCTGCAAGCCAGGTGCACAAGCAAAGAAGCACTTGCAGTTTCAAACTTAATAGCATTAAGAAGATCATGTGAAGCTTTCTTTCTTTTACTTTTTAAACCAACCTAACATGGGCTTTTCACTAGTGATCCTTCCCTAACCTGGCCCTGTCCCACACTGTATTGTTGCATTTCATGTCTTATGAACCCATCTGATCTGCCATGTTGTCAGATGATCAACTCTTGGAGGCAGTTGCCAACCCCAGCCCATTTTTTCTCACTTATGGTCCCTTCTTGGGAAAACCAGGGACAGAGATCCCCAATAAAAAGGAAGAATTTTCTCAATTGTTTTTTCTTAACCCATTTTTCCCCGCATCTTGAGGGATTCTTTGATCCCAGAAAGATATAAATCTTCCTTGCTAAATGCTTGTCCCATTACTCACCTTTTCCACATAGGTGGTGCTCATGAACCAATAGTCTCAAGTGCTGGGCAGGATGCTGGGTCTTCTTCCGACCGAGGCTCACAATCGATCTTGATGAGGTTGCCTCACTGTATGGATGGGGCTGTCCCTCTAATGAGCTCTGAAGTTCCCAGATCCCCAACTCTGTCGAGCCCCATGTTGGGTGTCAGTTGTCCCAGCCCATAGGACTGGGGCAAGAGAGTCAGCCTGGGGCAAGAGAGTCAGGGATAGGGAATGGGGACAAGAGACACAGAAAGAATGATCACAATATAGGATTCTGATCAAGTGACAAACTTTATTTTTCTCAGGCTAGCTTATATAGTTAGCAGACCAGGATATGGGGAAGGGTAGAATGGGTTGTTTGTGTGCCAGATGCTAATGTAGGCAGGATATTAGGAAACCACAAAGAGAGGATGTTTGGCATTGTAAAGAGTTCATGAGTAAGAGGTCCAGGAAGGGTTGCCTAGGTGACTGAACCTGCTGTTGGAAGTAAGGTGGAGGACTGGGTCAAGCTGTTTCTTTTCTTGAGCTGAAGTTCTAAGGAGCTGTTATGTAAAGGTTAATACATAACTATGTGGCCAGCCAAGCATGGCCTAGGGTCTCATGCCAAGTCCTGAGATCTTTGGCTCCCAACATTGATGGCTGACTGGAGCATGTAATCATCTTTATTTCAGTTGCTAATGGGGAAAGATGAGTTGGTGGTCTAAACTCTCTCAGTAAGGCTATAAACAAGCATGTATTCATTGTCTTCTACAATCCTCTTTAACAGTAGCTTATAAAATTGAATCCCTTGTTTGTGCTCTGGATCCTGGTTCTTCTCTCTTTCCCCAGAAGGTCACTCTTGAAGACAGTCTCTCTTTTGAATGCCTTGATATTCTCTTTCACTTATTTACCTTTATTCACAGGTCATCAGGATCTGTGGATAAATTGTTCTAAGCAATTCATACCTTTTAAAAGCTTCCTTTAATTCCTGTGTTCCTTATGCGCTGTTGTCATATTCATTAGCCTCCATGGCAGTCAAAGCTTCTTGAAGTTTTACTTTATTTTTAAATGGCAAAGACTAACTGTATGTACTTAAGTAATATGAAATGATGTTCTAAAACATGCATATATTTTGGAATGGACAAATCAACCTAATTAGTATATCCAGCATCCTGAGTATATATGAACTTCGTGATGTGAACTATAATGTCTCTTTTAGCTATCATAAAGTAGAAAATAAATTCATATTCACAATAGCTACCACCATGGGGAACAGAACATTAGAACCCATTCTTCCTACCTAGCTCTACCTTACCCTCTGCTTAGCAGTTTTCCTTTCCTACTTTGCCTTCCTCCCCACTGTGGAATCACTGTCTATATAGACTATCCCTACTTGGTCAATTTCATCTTTATCTTTCTTCATTTTAAATTAACTCTCGACATTTTTTCAACGTCCCTTCATTCGCATTCAACACTATGATTTAAGTGGAATTACACTTGTCAAGATCACAATCGGCTTGTGTGGTTGCAAGTTCAGAATCATCATTTGCTTAGCCTCTTAGCAGCTCCAACACAAATCTTTCTTTTCTTGAATTCCATATAGCTCGATTAATTTTTCTCTTGCTTCACAATTCCCTCCCGTTTTATCTCCTTTGCAGATTCTTTCTCTTCCTTCTAAAGTGTAATCACTGAGATGTTGAGGGCTTTCTTTACCTCTTTACTATTTCTTCTTAGAGGGCATGTTTCACTAATGCCCTTAATTCTATGTATTCACTCATCAACTTTAGAACTACAAAGGTCTGGAATGAATCCCAGGCACATTATAATCAAAGATCTCTAAATGTGTCATGTACAAACAGGGCCATTTGATTTCCTTTCCCCTAGAAATTTTTTTTCTTACTCTTCCACATCTTAATAAATGGCATCTAAACATCCCAGCTTCCAGACCAACTCACCTCGTCTTTTAAAAAGTGCCAACTATTCTGGAAAGAAAATGTCAGGGTAAAACAAGGCTCTAGCCCTTCCCTCACTCAATTCATTAATAGGGGTGGCAGAGAAAAAAAAGCTCCAGACTTACAGCATGAGACAGGAGCAGCTGGGAAGAAGACAACCAGCAAAACAAAACAGGAAGTTCCACTAGTGATCCACGGGGAGGGACAATCAGCAGCTGCTGAAATGAATCCAAGAGGATTCAGTGAGATTCCAGGTCTGTGAGATCTGAAGTAACCTGGGGTATATGCAGTTGCTTAGAGTGGAAATAATTGATTAGGAAGGCTAACTTATTTTTAAATGGGCAAGCAAGATAAATCACAGTATGGTATTTGTCCCTCACTATCTTGGAACACTGAAGACTTTTTTCCAGTATGGTAGTTACCATCATATAGAAATATTTTTTGTTTAAACTAATGAATTAAAGTGAACAAAAACAATATTCTAAAGCCATATTTTTAAGTGACCAGTAATGACTGAGTCTACAACTGTGGGTAGCACAGATGAAGTCTTAACTCCAAAGCCCTATTTCTAGATCAAACCACACTTCTTCATGAACACAGACACACAAGCGAGCACACCTTGATCTTACAGACTTGAACATCAGGTATTCCTAAAACCCAGGAGGAAGAGGCCATTTGAACATCTGCTACACATATATATTATGGTCCTGTGTGTCGCGACCACCTCGACCAGCAAGGAAGACGCAATGCTGAGACTCTTCCTTAAGCAGTTTACTTAGGAAACTTAAACAATCTTATGACCCCGGGAAAGCCAGCCCACAGCTTAAAAGCACTCTTGCCAGCCAACCCCAGAACACCACGTGGCTAAGGTGGATAGGCTCGCATTTGCTGATGCAAGTTTGAATCTTAGACCAAGCCAAATAAGGAGTTGTTTATTCCAGAGAGCGCTCACCCTCGGGATGGTGGAAGGTGGAAACTGGCGCCATCTTTAAGGCGCGGTGCATCGCAGCTCTCCACACTGTGAAGAAAGATCTTCAAAGGCATCTTCCAAATATCTTAGAAACAAGTGAAAACAAAGAACTAAAAAATGAGAATACTATAGTTTTGGGTTTCTTTTTCCCCAGTATAAAATCTGGACAAAACTTGAAACCAATTAAAGATAGAGTTAATACTAAGCAATTTGTAAATCGGATGACATCATAGTCAAAATATCAGAAGTAATTTCTGATAGAGGAGATTTATGAAGTAAATTTCATCATTGCCTAGTTCTCCATCAGATTGCCTCATATATGTGTAAGGACTCAGTGTCCAGAGAACATAGGTTGTGTTTTTTCTTACTTACTTATAGGGGGAACTAAGGTATTTCCTTTATTACACTGATTTGTTGAAATGGTCTATGATTTTTGAATGTATGACATTTGAAAATATTCACTATTAATCCCATATGTCTACTACCAATTTATTAGGAAAATGAAAAATAATGGAAATAAAGGAAAATTTTAAATCAGATACCTTATACTAAAGGAAATGGAAGCATGAAATACCCAAAGCTTAAGAAGTATTTATGATATGTCACCCTGTACAGCTGAAAAATCTCAAATGAGTTATAATAGCCAAACCACAAAAGTCATATGTTTTTACAAGAAACAACTGTTAAGGAATTTCAATAAAAAGTTAAAATTTCAGACAAAGATTAATCATGCAATGCCAACAGCAAAGAACAGCAAAGTGGCCACATGCATCAAAATAAAATCAATTTCCCAAAGCAGTAAATGGACAAAGATGGTGATTTCATTTTGATGAAAAAGTTCTCAATGAAGACATAACTGTAATGAACCTCCACACACCAGATTAAAGTAGAATAAGCACACCCTCAAAAATGCTTTTAAATGTGTTCAGAAAATTGGACAGAACAATAGTAATAGGGGATTTTTAACACATCTTTTCGTTTTTGACAGTGTTTAGAGGAAAGTAATAAATGAAGGTAATGATTCAATCAGTTACAGTTCATTCTTGACATGCTTGGCATTGTGTGGCAATAGTGGAAATTCTTGTGCATTTAGCATTTAGTATACACAGAGATGCATATTCATAATAATTAAAAGGTATTAAGGAGGTTGGAGGCAGGAGAGATAGCTTAGTGGTTAAGAACACTTACAGCTCCTACAGAAGATATGGACTGGATTCCCAGGACCCACATGGAGGCTCACAGCCACCCATAACCCCAATTACAGGGGATTCTCTGTCCAGTTCTGACCTCCATGTCATCAGGCAGTTAAGTATGCAAAACACTCATACACAAGATTTTTAAAAAGTCTGTATACATAAGAAAGAGAATACATACATGTGTATGTTAGAGAATGTTGGAGGATGTACTGATTTCTAAGAAGCTAGGAGAAATTACTTAAAATGAAGGAAAATGAGAAAACAAATTAACATTGCACATGATACTTGATTGTTAGAGAAAGCCTTATTTATTTAATAAACAACTAGAATGAAATGAAATGACCACAAGCTCATGCTATTTAGGTAGTAAGGACAAGAGCTGTGTATTCTGGATGGCAATTTACAGAAGTGATCACATACTCACTCACATATTCTCAAATGCTCATATAAAAAGAACCATTCGTTTGTTCAACACATTAGAATGAAATCAAGAAAGTAAGATGATCTAAGCATGGCTATAGGATGGACTGTGCAGAATACATGAAGGTGTTGGGAGACTAGTTTCCTGACTCCTGGCTTATGACTTCGCTTTAGGTTTCACAAAACAAGGCCAAGAGTATATTTAGCCATCGAAGACTAGCAAATAGTATATTCTTTGAGAACTTTTAGTTTTAAGATAGGTAAAAGTGACTCAAAAACTTGTAAGAGAAAGTGATACATCTCTGGAATTTGAGGATTCAAGGACTAATGGAGCACACTTGTGAAACTTCCAAGGTAGAAACGAGCTGGTGTGCATGCTCCTTGCATAGTATGAAGAAGGAGCTTCCAGAAGGATCTTTGATGAGATAGGCTGTCGTGTTTGATGAACAGATGTTGAGTCTGTGTTCAGCCACACTTTGCCATCAAGTCCAGTTTTCTTTCTTCTACCTTATAATGTAGGAAAAGCCCCATGGCTTACTGTTAAGTCCAAAGCCATTCCCTAACCACATTAACAATCAAGATAACATAGAAGTCACCCCTTTCTGCTGACCACAATGGAGTAATAGCCATTGGGGTTACTTTATTTCCTGAAACAATTAAATGCTAAGCAAAAGGAGGAAAATTATGTATTATAAAGATACAAGATATTAAATGACCATAACCATTCACTGAGAAATAAATGAAGTAAAGTTTATAACTGTCCCTGGTCAGTACCTAAAATTCTCAAGTCCCGGTGACCACACAAGTTATTCTGCCACATAGACCCCAGGGACTTATCTGTCAGTAGCACAGAAGAATCCTTTAGGATTCTGGAGCAGAGCCGCATTATCCTTTGTAAACAGCTACTTTCCATTTGAGAAGCAGATTTGGACTGCTACTGGCCTCACTGGAGATCACTGTTATGCCACAAGTCATGAAATTACTTACCTGCTGAAGTTGTTCATCATCAGTAGGATGTAGCTTGCCCACCAAGAGCTAATGATCAGGTATACATAGCAATGCTACATTATCCAGTAGAGTGGTATATACAAAAGAGGGTCATACTGCCCCTGAAGGTACAGGAAGTTGTAGGGGAAACTGGTTCACTTTCACAGGACTCTACTCCTGCTATATCACTCTCTCTCTCTCTTTCTCTCTCTCTCTCTCTCTCTCTCTTTCTCTCCCTCCCTCCCTCCCTCCCCCTCCCTCTCTCTC